ATTCAGTCGCTGCCCCCACATGCTCACTAGAATTTTGTATTTAAAATCAAGAAAAAAAAAAGTCAGCCATTACCATTAACCACCCTTCTCACTCACCTCGCATTCTCTCAGACCATCAACGCCACCAAATCTACCACCCCTCTTGCCCCTGCCCTCCTCGAACTAGTAAGATTGAAGTTTCACGTCCTTTTGATTTTTTATTCTTTCGTTGACGAGTGATTTTTTGTTGATATTTGGAAAGATTGACTATTTCTATGGGCTGTTTGATTTATGGAAATGTAATTGATCTCCTTTGCATTTGTGTTTGATTTTGGGTGTGGACTCTTCTTTATTGTGTTGTTCTGGTCTAAGGTTATTATGATTTATGAGTTTCGGTGCCAGTCTCAGGACTTTTCTTTATCTTTGTTTCCTGTGTCTCATATATTTTTGAATTCTATTTCTTCATTGTGAATAGGGAAGAGTTGCACCCTTAGGTGGAATTTGACTTCCTGAAGGATCCAAATTTCAGAAGGTATTTTTAAGCTAGTATGGTTCTATAGAGTTCTGTGATGCTTGGACGATGGCCTTTAGTAATTGAGGATTATCTTTTCAAGACTGTTTTAGTCGGTGATTTAGCTGTGGTAAAACCAAAATTTCTTGCAAGATATGCTAGAGACTTTTGTACCCTAATTTGAAGTCAACCACCTGGAAAATCTGATATTAATGTTTAATTCTTTTGGAAAAATTGTCAAGCAAACCAAAAATCTTAGTTCATTGGAGCTTAAGATTATTATTCACATTGAGAACTCTTGCAAAGCTAGCTTCTTAGCTGGGAATATTGGAGATGGTAGTGGTTCAACCAAGAAGAATATTGAGTCAGAGCCTGAAGCTGAATGGGAGAGTTTACTTGAACCTTTTGATCTCACAAAACTTAGAAAGTCTCGCATTCTAATTACCCCAGTTCAACTTTGTAAATTGCTTGAGCTTCCACTTGATGTACCCACATTGTTGGAAATATTTGAACGGGTGGGTGCCCAGAAGGGATATTGCCATACATTTGACGTATACTATGTGTTAATAAGTAAGCTCGGGACAATTGGGGAGTTCAAGGTTATAGATAAACTGTTAATGCAGATGAAAGAAGAAGGGATTGTTTTTCGAGAGTCCATTTTCATGATAATTATGAAACATTATGGGAAAGCCGGCCAACCTGGACAAACAATTAGATTGCTCTTAGATATGAGGGCTGTCTATTCATGTGAACCAACTTTCCAATCTTATGATGTAGTTTTGGAAATACTTGTGACCGGTAATTGCCCAAGAGTTGCTACAAATGTTTTCTATGACATGTTGAGTAAGGGTATCCCTCCCACTGTTTTTACTTTTGGCATTGTGATGAAAGCGTTTTGTATGGTTAATGAGGTTGACTCTGCGTGCTCACTCCTTAGAGACATGACAAGGCATGGATGTGTACCTAATTCTATAGTTTATCAGACTTTAATACATGCACTATCAAAAAGTAACCAAGTAAGTGAAGCCTTAAAGCTTTTGGAAGAGATGTTTGTGATGGGATGCATGCCTGATGTTCAAACCTTCAATGATGTTATTCATGGCCTCTGCAGGGTAAATAAAATTCATGATGCAGCCAAATTGGTTGATCGAATGCTTCTGCGAGGTTTTAAGCCAGATAACATGACTTATGGTGTTCTGTTGCATGGACTATGTAGGATTGGAAAACTCAATGAAGCAAGAGCATTATTGGACAAAATCCCTTGTCCAAATAATGTGATCTTCAATATTTTAATCAATGGGTATGTTATGAGTGGACAACTGAAGGAAGCTCAAAGTTTTCTTAATGAGACTATGATAAATTTTGGTTTTGACCCTGATGTTTTTACATACAATATATTGATGCATGGTCTTTGTAAAGAGGGGAGTCTTGGTTTTGCTCGTGATTTGGTCAATGAGATGTCTAGGAGGGGTTGCAAGCCCAATGTGATCACATATGCAATATTGGTTGATGGGCTTTGTAAAGAAGGGCTTCTCGAAGAAGCTGGTCTTGTGTTACATGAGATGTCAACAAAGGGGTTGAGTATAAACACAGTTATATACAATTGCTTGATGTCCGCACTATGTAGGAACGAGAAGGTTCACGTTGCTTTAAATTTGTTTAGTGAAATGTCCACAAAAGGGTGCAAGCCTGACTTATTTACATATAATTCTCTAATCTATGGGTTGTGCAAGGTTGATAAGATTGATGAAGCCTTCAGGTTGTTTCATAATATGTTATCAGATGGCGTAGTTGCCAACAATGTAACTTACAATACACTGATTCATGCGCTTTTGAGAAGAGGTGCATTCCAAAATGCCCTCTCACTTGTTAATGATATGCTGTTCAGAGGATGCACCCTTGATAAGATTTCTTACAACGGACTGATAAAAGCATTTTGCAAGGTTGGGAATGTTGAAAAAGGATTGGGATTGTTTGAGCAAATGACAATGGATGGACTTGGCACTGATACTATATCATGTAATATTTTGATCAATGGGCTGTGTAAAGTTGGAAAAGTGGATAATGCATTTGAGTTTCTTAGAGATGTGATTAATCGAGGTTTTGTGCCCGATATAGTCACTTATAATAGTGTTTTAAATGGACTTTGCAAGCTTGGACGTATTGAGGAAGCCTTTAATCTATTTGATAGATTACAAGTTGAAGGTGTTCGCCCTGATGCTTTTACCTATAACACTTTTATCAGTTGGCATTGTAGAGAAGGAATGGTGAATGACGCTTGTTTATTTTTTTATAGAGGTGTAGAGAGTGGTTTTGTACCTAGTAAAGTGACTTGGAATGTGCTGGTCAATACTTTGGTAAAGCAAGGTGACATGGAGAATTTGTTTTTTATGTTAGATGATTTATGGTGATAAAATGTACTTGTAAATACATTTTTGTGTTTGATGTTATTATGATACCAGTTGACGTGTTTGATGTTAATATGGTGATTTTTGTTTCTCCTGTTCCATTTTTAAGCATTCTAATTTTGTCAATATTTACAACTAAAAAATCTCTCTTGGGACACTTCAGTTTTTCATTGTTAAGCACACATTAAGAAGAAATTTTGGGATTGCAAGTAAATTAGCGAATTGCTAGCACCCTTAGAACAAAATTATGAGGCTGACAATTTTTTTGAAATATAGTTTTTATGCAAGAAACCAGAGAAGCTATTCTTTAAGATAATGAAAAAGTTACAAAAATGAGAGGAGGTGGACAAAAAGGTCTTCTAATTTGCCCCAAGATTAGATATGCTGTAATCACAAAAATGGATGGTGGAATTTGCATCAAGAGCAACATAGTGTGGTAGTATTACCTCATAATCTATGGAAAATTTTACGACATAGATTTTTCCTTTTTCTTCTCCACCAAAGCGCCAAAATGAAGAAGCTCTTATAACATAAGACCATAATATCTTTTTCTTTTAGAAGGATGACCTCTGAGAACTTAAGTGATGTGGGTGATATAGAATGCACAGAGTTGTAATTTGCTTCCGTTAAAATGTTGCAACGTTTTACTGTGTTTGTATGCTCTCTCTACACTCTAGCTTCTGGAATAAATAGCAGCAACCATCAGAATAATTTCCTCTGTATTGTTTTTAGAATTTTGGTTAACTATAAATTCTTTTTTCATAAATTTCTTCGTACATTATTTTTGGTTCTTGGAATGGCCAGGCTGAGGCTGGGTTCTTGATCCGTTGAAGCTAAGGCGGAGACACAAGATAATATTCTATTGCCCTTTTTGTTTCCTTTTCTCTTCACCAGCTATTAGCTTCAGCATATAGGTACTCTCAGATTCTTTCCTTACTCCATCAAGTAAGTACTCACATAATGCCTCTAGCATATTGTATAAGTATACCTTTCCTTCCTTTCAAGTTTTCTTGTGTCTCTTATATTCTTGAATTCTATTTCTTTGATTGCGAGTAGGGAAGAATTGCATCCTTAGGTGGAATTTGACTTTCTGAAGGATCCAGAGTTCAGAAGGTATTTTGAAACTATTATGGTTCTATAGAGTTCTGTAAAGCTTGGGCGATGGCTTTTTGTTCTGAGGAGGAAAAAACTGAGGATTATCTTTTCAAGATTGTTTTAATTGGTGATTCAGCCGTGGGAAAATCAAATTTGCTCGCTAGATTTGCTAGAGATGAATTCTACCCTAATTCAAAGTCAACCATTGGAGTGGAGTTCCAAACCCAAAAGATAGAAATAAATGGAAAGGAAATCAAAGCTCAAATATGGGATACAGCTGGTCAAGAGCGATTCAGGGCTGTTACGTCTGCGTATTACAGAGGAGCCGTTGGAGCTCTTCTGGTGTATGACATTAGTCGGCGTCAGACATTTGACAGCATTGGGAGATGGCTAAATGAACTTCACAGTGAGTATTATAAACATGCTATCTTTTGTTACTGAAAATAAAATCTCTTTTTCTTACCCCTTATTATGCCGTTTTATGCGTTTCTAATTAATGCTATTGACTGGTTACTTCTCATTATTAGATTTCTTCAGTTGTCAGTTTACTTTAAATTAAGATATCCCGACTGTGAACAAAAAAACATCTGAGCAGTATTTTGTGTGGAAAGAACTTAGAAGTAGCGTTCAACTTTCTGCCCAAGTGGTAGAAGAGGATTTAAAGATTTTGAAATGGAAGAATATCCTTTATAAAAAAGAGTTTAACTGAACAAGTGAACAAGAGCTGCATCTGAATGTGGAAATGTAAAACAAAACGAAATGAGAATTATTAACTATCACTGTGAGAAGTTGCATGGTTATTATATTGTCAGAGAGTTCGATTGATGTCGGGGAGTTTTCTTTGCCTTTATAACCTGATTGGATAATCTTTTATTGAACAGCTCATTCTGACATGAACGTAGTAACCATTCTGGTTGGCAACAAGTCTGATCTCAAGGATGCTAGAGAAGTACCTACATCTGAAGGGAAGGCTTTGGCAGAAGCTCAAGGTCTGTTTTTTATCGAAACCTCAGCCCTCGATTCCTCTAACGTGACGAATGCGTTTCAGACAGTAGTGAAAGAGATCTACAACATATTGAGCCGAAAAGTTATGATATCTCAAGAACTCAAAAAGCAGGATGTGAGCTGGATGGAGGATGGAAAGACTACTGTAGTTATACAGGGAGAGGACATAGTAAGTGAAGAAGAGCCCAAGAAAGCTGGATGCTGCTCATCTTAGTAACTTTACAAATTCGAATCTGTTCTTTCATTTATTCTGCTCATTATATTAGCAGCATTTGCTACTCATCTTCCACAATGTATCTTCTTCTCCATTTGGTTGAATTTCTTTAGCTGGTGAATCTTCTTTTTTATCTTATTTTTCTACCATGCTGGGTAACATTGATTTCATGTGTTCATGGATTAAAGTAACATAGGGGAATTGAAAAATGTAAATGTGGCCTGAAAGGGTTTAATTTTTTCTAAGTAATATTGTTTACCTTGTTCCAATTTCTGCTTACTGATTCCTTACCTGAGGAACAACCATATGCGGCTAAGCTTTTCTCTGTTTCATCTACAACTTTATTATTTGTACTTTATGTTATGTGATAATTCATGTTACTAAGTTCATTATTATGAAACTTTGTCTGCTCCACCAGAAGAAGTGAGCCCCTACAAGAGAGAGCCATTGCACATCAGCTTCTTATTGTATAGGGTTCCAAACTTGCAAACCTCTTACAAAAAAGCTTTGAATCTCCATTTTTTTTTTTGCAATATTGGAAGAAGAAAGAAGCTTCTTCTTCATTATTATTAGTAGCAAGAGCAAAGCTTCTTTTTTTGAAAAACTTTTAGAACTTTTTTGTTTAGAGGTAGGGGGACGTTAACTAGCAAGAAAAGACTTCTTCCTTCTTATATTGTTGAGGTGCATTTACTAATATTCTAATAGTTTGGTCCCTCTTTCCCTTTTTGTTACTGAAAAAGAGGTCGAAGGTACGAGAGTCGGGAACGATTGAATACGATAACGAAAGAAGAATCAGAATTGACTCAATTTGAGCTATCAAGTCAGTAGCTAAATGAATCGATTTCTTAGTTCGACAATCCCTCCTACTAATTGGAATAAAAAGATTAGTTGATATGTTTTGCTCAAAATTGTAGAATGGACTAGGATTATGAACTACGTTTTTCCCTTGCAACCAAGTACAAGGGAAGATGAGCATATATAATTTTACTTACCAAGTACAAGTTATAAATTCATTTTAATTTATCAAAGCGAAGTAATTGATATATATCTCCAACCAAAAGATAGTGAGATCGATTCACACCTTCACATGTTGTAGTAAAAAAATGATTTTGATTTGTTAAAGGATGATGATCTTCGAATGACCAAACTATCTGTTGTTGGGCACACGAGATCCAAAGTATTGGAATGCACATTTAAATGACTCTAGGGTAATTGCACCTCAACAATAAATATAAATGCCATATTTATAAATATAAATGCACATTTAAAGTATTCAGAATGCACATTTAGAAAATCAAATTAGGGATTTAAATCTTTTACCTTTAAATAAAAAAAATAACAACAATAAATATAAATGCCATAAATTAGGGTAATATCGTCACTAATAAAAATTCTTAAATAAAAAATCTAAAAATGTAAAATTGGAAAACTTTAGACATTTGTAAAAATAAGTTTTTAAAACAATCCGTCCAATACATTATCTCTTGTACGCCCAATAGGTTGTTTTCGGGCCATAATTATGTTAGCACACTAAAAACGGTTCAATCAAAAGTTATTGTTTTTGGATAACCAATCAAACATACCCTTAATTATTAATATTTTTTCTTTGATATTTTCCTTCTAAAATTAAAAAATTATGAAAGTATGAAATTTCACTTTTGACTTAAAAAAAGATAATTGATGTTTTTTAAGTTCAACCATATTATTTTTTGGAATAGTAATAAGTATTCTATCCGTTTGTTCGGGCTCGTTTGCTAACCAATACTTGTATGGAAAAATCTTTTTTTTATGTGATATTATCTTAACTATTAAGTCTTTCTCTGACTACATCTTAGTTATAAATACACATGGATATAGAATTTGTCATTTGACAAAATAAACATAAAATTTGTACTTTGACAAAATTTCATTCTTGAATTCGAACCAATCTAAAAAACCGACTCGAACCGATCCTTTTTGATTCGGTATGATAATAAAAGGAAGGAAAAAATCATAAAATCTTCAAAGTGTAAAATTAAACCGAGGAAGAAAGAACAAGAAGAAGAAGGGAAAAAAAGTAAAAAGGGAACCGACCCGAATACCCGAGTTCGTATCGGTTTTACGCTATACTTAACCGAACCGGTTTATTCCAAACCGATCCGACTCGAACCGAACGTACACTAGTAATTGATTTGTTTTTTTAAATATATTTTTTATAAAAGAAACCAGAGAAGCATTTCTTGAAGATCTTCCCACTCTCTCTCATTCTTCTCTCGCACGTCTTCTTCAATCTCTGCCCATTTCGCAGAGCTTGGAATTGGTAAGCAGAGCACTGCAGATCTCAATCGCTTTCAAAATCTGCGTTGGAAATGGCTGATATCTCTTGATTTCTTTCTCGCAGAACTTCTCCCACTGGAAATTGAGGCTCGCGGAATTTGGAATCTGTATTGAAGCACATGTTAAAGGATTCTCTCCCACGGTGATCGCAAAGATCTTTAACACCTTGCGGGAAATGGCGGGTCGGTTCTCGGCCACCATGATCGTTACCAACACACCGGCAGCGGACCTCGCTCTAACTAATCTTGCTTATTGCTCGGCTTCCGATCTTCAAAACTATGCGGTCCCTGGCACGAAGCTCTTCCTCGCATTGGTTGGCGATTCGTTTGTACTCTCCCTCGCATATCCTTTCCATAAGTTTACTTTTGCCTCAACCATTTTCAGTTTTCAGATTTTTGTTTGTTTTTATTTTTTGGCCTGCATATCATGTTTTTAGGGTACCTTAATTTCTAATTAGCCATTGGGTATCTATGCCTTACTTTCAAGCTCTTGTCGAAGTTAATATCTGGATAATTTTTTTTAGTGTAGGAAACCGTGAATTATCTTACTTTGATATTATCAGAGATTATTCCTGTTCTTAATTCAAACTTCAAAGGGCATTCTGAAAATGCAAACCACTGTGTTCGGGTGAAAACTTCTACATTTGTCGTACTGCTCGTTCAATTTTTTTCGTAACTGCTTGTATCATCTGGCCAATTACGCAAAGGTGTTGAATGGCTATTGGAAACTAGGGAATCTAAAAGTGAGAGTATGTGAACATTTTATGGTGAGGGTTTTCTTTTATTGTTTGTGGTCTTAACTGAGAAAAACTCCTCATGGAAGTATAGGCAGTGGCTACATTGCCTTAAATGCTATTCAACGTCGGCATGCTAGAGTTTCAACTGGGGACAAGATATCCGTGGCCAGGTCCTTTTACCTATACCCCTACTCTTTTTCTTTTTGGCTGTTTCAGTAATCATAATACTTTTAGGATGATTTTTTTCTTAGATTTATCCCACCAGATGATTTCAACCTGGCATTACTCAGATTAGACTTGGAGTTTGTTAAAAAGGGGTCCAAAAGTGAGCAGGTAAGCAAAATGAAGTCAAATTTGAACTATTATTGCCTGCCCTAGGATAATTTCTAAGCGTATGATCAAGGGATTAATTATTAAGGATTCAATCCTTGTCTCATTTGTAGGTTGATGCTGTTCTATTGACCAATCAATTGAGGAAGAGATTTATCAACCAGGTAAAATTTTGAGGTGTAACTTGTCTGATATGCTCACAGATTTATTTTTTTGTCATTCTGTTTTCAGATTCTCTCCAGTTCCTCTTTTGGTGTTTAATAACATATGGGTCATAACTTATCAATTTTCTGGTTATGGGTTTGCTTGCATGCAGATAATGACAGCAGGGCAAAGGGCTTCTTTCGAGTACCATGGTACTAACTATATCTTCACAGTTAACCAAGCTGTTGTGGAAGGGCAAGATAAATCTGATGTTGAAAGAGGGATGATTTCAAGTGATACCTATTTTGTCTTTGAAACATCAAATGGAAGTGGAATAAAGGTCAGATCACCTGTTAACAAAAACTCATTTCCTTTTAAGTTTTATTTTTTTTTAAAAAAGAAGCGAACTTTTCATTGATGTATGAAAAAAGGAACAGAAAATGTTCAAAGATACAAAGATACAAACTCCACCAGGAGTGAGAAAGCATAAAGCATAAAAGGTAGAACAAGTAAAGATAGATACATCCAAACCTGTAAACAAAAGAAATATAAATGACTCCCAATTAGATAGTCCATTTATACAGAATGGTAAAGGGGTCATGTCATGCTAGGAGAGTAATTTGCAAATAAATTGGAAAGAGCACACCAATTAGAAGCTTTGAACTTGGCAAGGTTGAAACTTTCCAGCTGAGATATTCTTCTTTCTTCGAATTGGTTTCTCTCAAACCATACCTCTGATAAGAGCTTTAAAGCCATTAACTAAAAGGAAATTCGCTTTTGGAGGCAAATTGTGGACCAACACAACAGCTGAAAAACTATTGGCGAAACTTCCTTATCCAAAACCCATTTTCCTTTTAAGCTTTTACTCTTCTTCTTTGTCCCTCACCCTTTAGCAATTGACCAACTCTTATAGGTTGTCTTAGTTGTAGCTACATATATCACTATGAAATGTCTGGAAGTTTGTGATCCTGGATTGTTGTATTTTATGGGATAATATTATTTATGTGGCTGTTACTTGGTGCAAGATTAGGAGTACTTTTTGTAACTACAGTCTAACCTCTCTTTGTACCAATTAGCAGTTCTTCCTGTAATTTCTGTTGTGTTGGAATTTTTCTCCCCACTTCTCTGTACATTTAATTTTTTAGATTAAATCGTCTCTAATAAGAAAACCTATATTGTAGCATAGAAATGTAACTACGATTACTAACAGTTTCCTATTATGTCATGACAAGTATGGTTTATGATTACGGTCAACTGAACTCATTATGGATGCTTTTGATTGCCATAATTATTACCGAGTACAAGTCAATGATATTGTAGATAGGCTGGAGGTTTTCTTGGTGCTTGCCTCATGTGTTGGCTTAAATACTCCAACAATGAAAGTCCCCTGCTTCTCTCATATGTTTTTCTTTCCTCTTTGCTCATTATTGTCTATGAAGGAGAACCCTAATAACATTGATGTGACAGTCATCTATATATTCGTTCTCTATTGGGTGCACTATTCTTAGATGAGTAATCTTTTTAGCAACTTGTATCTGACTTGGATGAATTCCTTTAAACTTTGCAGATAGTTAATCAACGAGAAGCTGCTAGTAGTAACATATTTCGGCAAAAAGAATTTAATCTTCAGGCACTTGGTATTGGTGGATTAAGTGAGGAGTTTGCTGACATATTTCGAAGAGCTTTTGCCTCTCGTGTTTTTCCTCCTCACGTGACCAGCAAGTAATAAGCTATTTATGGAAGTCTTATATTTTTTTTTCTTGTCATTACCATGATTCTAAGCGGATACATGTGACAGATTGGGCATCAAACATGTAAAAGGAATGCTGCTTTATGGACCACCTGGAACTGGCAAAACTCTTATTGCCCGTCAAATTGGGAAAATGTTGAATGGGAGAGAACCAAAGGTTACTATATAACTCAAACTCTTATTTATATCTGGAAGTATATTTTTCATCGTGGGCTTGTTTCATCCTCCACAGTTAGCATCCCTACTCTCTTTTCTATTTACTACTTTAGATGCGTAAGATCTCTTACATTCCAAAATGATAAGTTGGTTAAAATGTTGAAGTTAACTGTTATTGGTTTGACAAAATAAAGAAGACCAGATTATGAGAAATAAGACCTCAGAGGCATTATCCAGTGTGATTGTGTAGTCATTCTTGATTTTTGCATGTGCAAATTTTCTTCCGGAATGAGGAATCATCGATGATTACACCTTTACTTGGTCAACCTGTTTATGATCTCTGGAGACTGGATGCAACTACTTCAACATCTTATTCTCTACTATTTGTCTTTTTTTTTTATTTATCTTTTATTTTTATATAAGAAACATGTGTATGTATTACTCACAAAAAGAGGTACAGCACTATGGGCTGGGGGCAGAATTCTCTACTATTTGCATCATCTATATTATGGTCTGACCACACATTTTTACTCAACTATCTCTCTCACACGTTTTAATCTGCTTTATTAGATTGTCAATGGCCCTGAAGTCTTGAGCAAGTTTGTTGGTGAAACTGAAAAGAACGTGAGAGATCTTTTTGCTGATGCTGAGAATGATCAAAGGGCCCACGGTAATGGTGGTGATATAAATATTAATATATTTCAAAGCAAGTATTTCAATTTGTTAATTCCAAGATGGTTTTTTTTCAAGACAGGAGATCAAAGTGAGTTGCATGTCATAATCTTTGATGAAATTGATGCTATTTGTAAGGTATGGGGCTCTTTTAGTATACTGTAGCATTTATTTATTTATTTTTGTAAATCCACAAAGAATTTGACTTCTCAAGTGAAAAAGACACTAGATCTTCTTAACTCTTCTCGTAGTTGTAAAAAGCTATGTTGGCTAAACGAATAGTTGGTTCATGATGTTGGCTTTTATTGAATCAAGTCTTTTTCTGCTATTTTATTCCAAAGGTTAAAACCAAGGTCCCGTTTACTTACCTGCAATCGTAATCAATGAATCGTAATGGAAACTTTGATTCCCTTTGATGGTGTTTACCAAATTGTAGGAATGTAATATGGTGGGACCCACCTCAAACTTTGTAATCTCATTACATAAAAAGGTGTAATCCCATTACACTCCTACAACTCCATCAATCCCATTCCCATTCCTTATTCCGTGGACCCCATAATCTATACATTAGATCCATATAATTTTTAATTAGTTTTTTTTTTATACTTTTATATTTTCTTCTCCATTATACTTCAATTTTGTATTAGTTGATGTGATTTTATTATATAATATGATAAATTAATATTAATTAATATCAATAAATTTTTTAAATAGATATCATTACTTTTAAATATTAGAATAATAAAACTTAATAATATGTTAGATTAAAGTTTGGTTGTTGTAATAAAAAATATTTTATTTGATGTAATTTTATTTTAATTATTCATTATGTATTAATATTAGATAAATTGTTATAATAAAAAATATTTACTATCAATAATATAGTAATAAATTAAATTAAAATTTATTATTATTGTAATTTAAAAAAGATTAGTATAATAATATATTTGTAATTAGCTAAAAAGGAGAAAGGGGTATATTAGTAATTATTATATATCTGATTCCGATTTCGATTCCAAACAGTTTTAGTAAACAACATCAAAGGAATTCTGATTACGATTCCAGAAAATTTCTGGTAAACAACATCAATGGAATAACATTACGATTCCGATTAATTTCATTACGACTGATTTTCATTACGATTGATTTCCATTACGATTGCAGATAAGTAAATGTGGCCTAAGAATTAATCCAATTCAATCCACAGGATAGTAACTGAACACACATCGTAATCAACATGCACCCATTTGCCAACCTGGGTTCTGTTTCATTTGAGCATATGTTTATATATTATAGGGTTTTGAGCCAAAATTTACCCATTTTACTTTTTTGCATTATGTTTGCAGGCAAGGGGATCAACTAGAGACGGAACTGGAGTTCATGATAGCATTGTCAACCAGTTACTCACAAAGGTTTGTGTGAACTATCGTGTTGCAGATTAATCTCAGTACTAAATTTGGAGGACTTTATTTTATCCTCTTTTTTTATCACAATGATGACATCATGTTTAAGAGGCATCATTTCTATGCAGATAGATGGTGTAGAATCATTAAACAATGTGCTTCTTATTGGCATGACTAACAGAAAGGATTTACTTGATGAAGCCCTTTTGAGGTTTCTTTCTCCTAAGCATCAGTTCTCTTTTCTAAAAAGTATTTTGTTAATGATTCTATAATTAAGCACATGAGCTTCTACAGACCAGGTCGCTTGGAAGTTCAGGTTGAAATTAGTCTGCCGGATGAGAATGGCCGTTTACAAATTCTTCAGATTCATACCAACAAGATGAAAGAAAATTCTTTTATTGCTCCTGATGTAAACCTTCAAGAAATTGGTATGTTAAATCACCTTTTTTTTTTGGCTCTTCGAAGGTAAATATATCATTTGGTCCCCAAACTTTACATCATTCTTTAATTTTGTTTCTATTATTTTAAAAGTTTCCAAATTGATCGTCAAGTTATGAATTTTTTTTTTTAAATTAAGTCTCTGCTCAATAGTGTAGTTGAAATTTAATAAGGAAATGGTGTGGCATTTTAAAAATATTATTTTTTATGAGACGATATGTTTTTAATGTTAAATATCATCTTATACCAATTCCTCCCCAATTTGAAAATTTGGGTATGATTGGGTTCGAGTCTTTAATGAGTTTGGGTTGGATGGACTTTTTAATTGAGGTAGGTAAAGTAGATATTTTATCTTTAAAAGGTACCGATGGATAGAAACTAATACTTCTACCTATCATGTCATTATTTTTTATATTCAATTTTGATGGCACTATTAAGTACAGACTTAATTAAAAAATTGACAACTTCAAGATAAAATTGGAACTTTTAATATATTAAAGACAGCTGAAAATATTGTGTAAACTTCAAGGACTAAATTGTGGATTTAGCATTTATTTTATTCTTCTTGTGTTCATTTTGATTTTGTTGGTTGACATGGCTCGTTGATTTATCTTTTTTGAATTATTGATTGCATTTAATTGTGGCTTTTGCATTGACATGTTTTTAAATATTTAAAGTTATAGAAAAAGATAGGACTAGTCCGAAAGAAGTGTTTGGTTTCATTGAATGCTCAAACCTGGTGGAAAGAAAATTTCAGCCGAATGTTGCTGCTTGATAAATCAAAGGATTGGTATACTTGTAAACCTTCTCTTTTGAAGGCAGCTCCTATTGGAGTTTTAACCAATTCTACGTTTCTGCATAATATATTAAATAAATTGTGAGGTATCCCCTCATGGAACTTTGATTGAAATCTAAAAAGAGCCTGTAGGCAATACAACAAGAACAACGAACACAGGAACACAGAAACACACGCAAACAACCCACCAATTTGAGAGGGTGGGGAACTCTCCCAAAGGCTACACAGTAGCTCCAAAATACCAAAATGCAGAATGTTCTCCTCCCAACATTACCTCCCACTAAAAAGGACTATACGGCCTACACTACTCCTAACTAACTGACATTCTCTCTGTTGGCCGTTTTGGCCTACAGTGGTTCAATTACCCCCTTACACTTATCCTTGCTCTTTCTACTATAGGTCTTCATAATCGGGGGTCTAACATAAATCCTATATGAAAATTTGAATCCTGAATTGCAAAAAATGTGTTGATTTCTCTTTTTATTAACACTGATGTGGGAGGTGACAATGGCATGGAGAGTTGGATTGTTGAAGTTTTTATTCGATTGTTTCTCTACTGTACTGTTTAAACCACAGGATGACAGGTGGTTGAGGATAATATTTTTTTGAAGATTTTCTGAGTTATTCTTATTTATATTTATTTTGACAGCTGCTCGTACAAAGAACTACAGTGGTGCTGAAATTGAAGGGGTTGTAAAAAGTGCAGTATCATACGCTTTGAATAGACAATTAAGTCTTGATGATCTTACAAAGACAGTTGATGAAGAGAGCATTAAGGTTACAATGGATGACTTTCTAAACGCAGTCCAAGAAATCATTCCTGCTTTTGGTGCTTCAACAGATGACCTTGAAAGATGCAGGTTACGTTTCGAATTATCGTTTGCTATAATAGTCTTTGAAATCAATGTTATATGTCAACAAAACAAATTACTACAAGAGAAGATGACAAGTATGCATCTTGAATAATGAATAGTTAAGGCAAAACTTCCTATCCAAAAAAAAGAATAGTTAAGGCAAAACTTGCCATGTCTTGAAAATTACATAATTTTTTGTTAACATAATTAAAAAATAAAATTTTGTTCCAAACGTCTTTGAAATGGTTGAATTTATCTGAAAATACACCTATTCCTGCCCAGCCAAATGACCCAACATTGGTGTGGCACATATGATATATATTTTTTTTGATAAGAAACGAAAAAGATTATATTCAAAATGAAGAGAGCCCAAAGGCAGTTGGACAGCCTAGTGGTAGAGGGTCGAGGAAACCTCCTCAAGGGGACTATACAATCAAGGAATTCAAGCTTTGAAGAATTAAAAAAAAACCAAAGTTACAAAAAACCTTCTTATGGATCAAAACCCACCAAGAAGCTGTATGCTTTATATTCACACTAAAAGAGTCAAAAGCCTCTTTCTCTTCAAAAAGTCTATATTCCGTTCCTTCCGTAGTAGCCAAAGAAGAGCTCTAGCAGCGCAATTCCAAAGAACATAAGCTTTTCCTTTGAGCATTGAGCACCAAAACCTTCAGCTACAAAATCATCAATTCTTTTCGGAACTCAGAGGTCGAGGTTTAGGAGAGATGCCACATAGTTCCAAGCCCATGTGGCACATATGATAGGAAAATAACAATAGAATCTTTAGCGATAAGTTAGATCTTTTTGAGATCTTCAACGACAAGTATATATCTTTCTGGGATTTTTGTGATCTTTTATGCAGTTTAAAGCTTCCTACTTGGAATGCAGTCAAAACTGCGCATTCCAAAATGTCTATCTTTATTAACAACTTCTCGAAAGAATATCTCTCTCTCAAAAACATGCAGACATGCACATGACTTGGCATGAAGTTGAAACTGCACATTTCCAAAATGTCATCTGTTTCTATTATATCAACTTCCCTAACAACTATATATCTCTTGGAAATACCTAATAGATAGATGTTAAACTGATAAAGAAGCTCAAAGCAAAATTGCTTAGAAGGAAAAGATGAACAAACCATTCTTATGTCTTTTTCTTATAAGAAACAATTTCATTTATGATTATTCCTGTCTTGTATCAAAGAATACATATGGCGAAAGAGAACTTGAAAGCCTTTCCTTTCTTGACCACTCTCATGTCATGTTTGATTTTTTCTCAAGTATACAGGGTATCATTCTAGAAAATCTAAATACCCTAGTCGTGTATTGTTGATACACACTTGCATAATTGTATTGACAATTGATTTTTCAAAACTGTCACCTGAGACCTGGATAGAACCCTCTACCTAGAGCTTACAGTCCACGTTCTAACTTTCAGAAATGCTCACGTTTGATGATTGGGGAGCGTTCTCAACCATTTGTTTTTAGAAGTAATTTATGGAACATGAATAAAGTGAATCATGCACAGATTGAATAGTTATGTGTTTGTGGTAGTTTAACATCTGCTTGTTGCACTTGAACTAAACATTTTGTATTTGATATGGAAGGGTTAATTCCATTACTCGTATTGTATCTTTCCTCTTTCATTTGGAATGGGAGGGATGACAGCCTCTTACATCCAAAATGTTTCTTAAGCTATTCAGAACGCTCGAACCCTGTTGGATTTTTATATTTGAATATTAGCCCTTAACATACTATGTTATTTGACTTGTAGGCTTAATGGAATGGTTGAATGTGGTGATCGACATAAGCACATTTATCAAAGAGCAATGCTACTTGTAGAGCAGGTTAAAGTGAGCAAGGGAAGTCCACTTGTTACTTGTCTTCTCGAAGGCCCAAGTGGCAGGTGTGCTTCATCGTGTCCTTTTCTTTTTTTTTTTTTTAATTCTTAGACAAGTTTAATTTGTTAGTTTTGGCTAATCCCTCACCCATATACAGTGGCAAAACTGCAATGGCAGCTACCGTGGGCATCGACAGTGAGTTTCCTTATGTCAAAATTGTAAGTTGTTATTTTCCTTTTGTGTTTATATTTTTATTCCTTGTCCATGCATAATCCTTCTGTTCTGTCTCATTACCTGGTCTTAAGTTAATTATTATTGTTTTTTTGGTTAGATATCAGCTGAATCAATGATTGGCCTTCTTGAGAGCACAAAATGCGCACAGATTGTCAAGGTTTGACAGTGTTTCTAGGACTGTTAGCTTGTTGCTCACCTTACTTTTATTGAACAAAGCTTATTTAGAAGCAAACTTATGCCTGCTCAATAATTATGTAGTCTGCAGAACCTTATATGAAAGTTATGTTGAGTTGTGGGCTAACTTTGTTACTACGTGGCCTGCAAAATTTGTTCGAAGGCCTTATATGATGTGTCACTTTTTGATAGGTTTTTGAGGATGCATACAAGTCTCCATTGAGCATTATCATTCTTGATGACATTGAAAGGTGACTGATGCTGATTTTGGCAACCATCACACTATGTTTCCTCCCAGTCCTAGTTATTAGTATCCTCGGCATGAATCTCCTTCTGATAGCAAAGTGCTATATTGCAGATTACTGGAATATGTTGCGATTGGTCCTCGTTTTTCAAATTTGATGTCTCAAGCGCTGATGGTTCTTCTCAAACGACTACCTCCTAAGGTATTTTTTGTCATTTTTCTGAATCTAAAGTTATTGGTTCACACCTATTTCATTCTCATTAGAATATGGCAGTGGTTTATATAGATATCCAAATCCTGAAGCTGGGGTTTATATTTCATGTGAACACAAAACTACAAAAGTAAAAATTGCATTCATGTTCTGGGGTTTCATTTGTGACACTCTTCTGCATAGTAATCTTACTGATATTGCTTTATTCTGAAGTCACTAATCAATTTTTCATTTGGATTACATTTCCAGGGTAAAAAGCTTCTGGTAATTGGAACAACCAGTGAAGTGGGCTTTTTAGATTCAGTTGGTATCTGTGATGCCTTCTCAGTCACTTACCATGTTCCAACACTGAAAACGGATGATGCAAAGAAGGTATATACTCTCGCCACACGTTTGGTTTCTTGTCAGCGATTATTGTCATGCTACTAAATGGGGACACAGATGCTGTAGCTGTACCATGTGGCATGAATTACTATTTCCTGGTCTAATAAATTATAATAATGGAAAATTTTGCTGATCAAGAGTTGATGGCTTATTGTTCCCCTTATTGAGAAATATATATATTTTTTGAGTACAACATTGAGATGAGGGATCAAACTTACAATCTCTTGGTTGAAGATATATGCCATTTGTCAATTTCCATTTATGCTCGCTTTGGCCCTTATTGAGAAATATTAATGGAAGAATACCTGGTTTTTTAAGTTTAGAAGTTATTATATCATATGCTGGTTACTCTGCTATGGATTAACTTATTTAGACGTGCATTAAACTCATGATGCTTTGTTTTGTTTTTGTTTTTTTTACCAATTTTCATCTCAATTTTAAATCTCAAATGTGCTCCCATCTGTTTCATCTTATCTTAGGTGATGCGACAACTGAATGTTTTTGCTGACGATGATGTGGATGCTGCTGCAGAGGCTGTTGGTGATGTATGTTCATCTTTCTTGCACCCTTTTTTGCAGTTATTTTTTATTTCTCAAAATTCTTCTCTCATTGAGCTTTTTTGTTAAATACCAAACCTTTACGCAACCACATCCAGATGTCTTAAAGTTCGGCTTTATACGCTGCTCACATGAGGATTTGAATAGGATTATATTAGGGGTTTCTGGATCCAATTTTATTTCTATTTTGCTTGAGAATAAGTAAGCTCCATTCGGTAGCAATTCAGTCTATTTTTTATTATTATTTTATTATTTTTAAATTAGATAGTTTAGTTTTACTTTTGAAAAACTACTTTTTCTAAATTTGATTAGGGATTAGATTAGAAAACAGAGGAAGTGTCAAGCTTTAAGAAATGGTGTTGTGCTTCAGGAATCAATAGAGTAAAAGTGGGTTTCTTCTAATAATCCCTTCATTGTTGTGATATCCTTTGGCTTGATTAACTTGGATAAAAACTTTATAGTTTCATATTCTCTTCCGGTTGAATTTTTCTCATTAATTTACGAAAATGAATATCATTTGAATATTGAAAGTAATTGAATAATGAAATTTTCTTTAGTTGAGTTCCTGGATCTTGTAAAATTGGCAATAAGTTTGATATGTTACCTGTTATTCATTCAAATGAGTGTGATGAGAGCTACTTAACTTGCTTAACCTCTGCTTTCAGATGCCCATCAAGAAGCTGTACATGTTAATTGAGATGGCAGCTCAAGGTGAGCGCGGTGGAGCAGCGGAAGCAATCTATTCTGGTGCACAGAAGATTAAGATCTCTCACTTTTTCGACTGCCTCCAGGACGTCGTCCGATACTAGAGTTTGATTCTTTTATTTGTTTTTGCACCTTATGATTTTAACCCCCTTTTTTGATATTGGGTGATGGGGCTTTGATTTGGGTTTTGATTCCATAATTTTTGAACTCCATAGTTTGTTTCATCGAGGTGCATGTAAGCTGGTTCAGATACGTTTGGAACTCCATAGAATGCTACGACAGGAGGGAAATGAGAACCGAAATCAATTGAATGTATCATTTTTTTTTTTGCTTTTAAATTTGAAGAGGTCCTGTGTTCTTGGAAAATGCCTGCATTGTTTGATTATCTCATAGAATCAGTTGGATTCTTTCCAGATTTATTTCTATCAGGAAATTGAATTGACAAAGAAGTCTAGATTCGGCTGGCCAATTAAAAAAAGATAAAATAAATATATATTTGTATTTTTTTAATTTATAAATAGTTAACTTTGGCTTGTTCTGATAATCATTTTTATTTTTTAGTTTCTATTTTGAAAGTACTGCTTATAAAAACTACTTCTCCGATTTTACTTGTGTGTTTTTCTTTTTCTACTTTTTAAAAATATTTTTGAAATCTTAACCAAATTTGGATCAAAACTAAAAAAAAGTCATTTTTAAAATTTTGTATTTATGTTTTTGAAATTTAGTTTGGAAGTCACTATGATTGAATAAGATGTGTACATCTATACGTATACATATATATACACCTAAATTTTTTTTAAGCATGTGGAGCATATTTTAAGATGGTGGATAGAAAAACTAAAGCAGGGGGAGAAGAGGGAGGGAGGAGTTGAAGAGAGAGAAGATAACAAATAATAATAATAATAATAAGAATAATAGTAATGTATTCGGAGGGTTGTTTTAAAAACTTATTTTTACAAATATCTAAAGTTTTTCAATTTTATACTTTTAGATATCTGTGTGTAGATTTTTTCTATAATACCAGATTTATTTCCTTGATTTACTAATATTATTAATTACAAAATGTCCCAATTTGTCTCTCTAATTTCCCACGGGTTGGAAGCCACCGTCGTTCGGATACATCCATTGAGTATATATAAGAGTTCTCATAACTACTTAAACATTATAAAATATATCCGATTAAATTTTTTTAGTTATAAAATATATCTAGATATAATCTAAAATCTCATATAAACTTGGATATCTTACCAACTCGACTCAGTATAAGGAATCAAACTTATCCCCATATATACAATAGTTCACACCTAAATTTTGCACCACTAAAATCATAACAGTACAAAAACAACCAAAAAAAAAAAATTAAGGTTTTCCACATTGTTCAAATCTAAAATCGAAAACTAGAAGGATATATTGGAATGTAAAATATATTGAAGTTTATATGGTGAGACAAGACAAGCCTTCTGATTGGCGAAGAGACAATGGTCGGGATAAACAAAGACAAAGGAGAAGCTAGACGGACTGCTCCGACGACGAAGAAGAACGGAGACGGAGATTGGAGACGAAGGAATGTAGACGGCAGTTTGAGACGAAGTAGCGAATGGAAACTGAACGATAGAGGAAGAATAATAGTTGACAGACTGCTCCGACGATGAAGAAGAACGGAGACGGCAACCGGAGAAAAAGGAATGCAGACGACGACCATAAATAAAGGCACGAAGACGGTGACCGGAGACGAAGGAACTGATGGAAACGAAACGACAGAGCAAGAAAAGTAAGAGGAAACATGTTTTCGAATTTTTTCAATAATGGAGGATTTGGGAGATTTAATTAGTATTTTGGGGATTTGGTATTTTTTAGTTTTGGAAAGTATAATTAGGCAAAATTTAAGGGATTTAAATTGTAAATCCAGGTAACCAATTTTGGATTTTAAAAATTAATTAATATTGAGACGTAGATACAAAATCATATACTAGTAATTTGGGTGATGGATACCAGTTGTTTGATATGACAAAACTGTAAATTTTATACATTCAATCCTTTGTAATTATAGTGTCTAAATAGCCTTACTAATCCCTGAATCTAAGGATCTTTTCAAACGATTTATTAAAGGTTGGAGACTAAACTGTCAGTTTTTTAAATTTCGGGACAAAATAAGAACTTAATCTCAAGCTTAAAGGATTAAAAATGTATCTTACCACTTATATTTTTCTCTTTTTCCTAACATATCATTGTCGTTTTTCACTCTCTAAAAATTTAATATTTTTCCGAACTTTTCTCTTTCTCAAATTTCATTTTTATAACTTTTCTTTCTCTTTTAATCTATATTTTTCTCTAACAAATATATCTCAAACTTTTCTCAATCTAATTTCTTTTTCTCTTTCAATATTTTTTTTTCACAGTAACCTTATTTTTATATATTTATTTTTCTGCAAAATTTATGAAAACGTTATTCATGAATTTTTTTTAATATAAAAATGGATAATAACTCCTCTTTCCACCATAGTACTAACAAAAAGAACCTACTTTCACCTCCCCACAAATGAAACTATAAATTTAGGACGAGTTTAATATTTTTAAAACTCTTTTTAGTAATAATTTTTCATGTGCTTAAATTAAAAAAAGTGTCAATTACTTTAAAATAAAATTTTGGACAGTCATCTTTCAATTATTTCTTAAAAAACGAATTTTAAAGCAATTCAATTTTTTTATTTTTTTTATTTACACGGTAGATTTTCTAAAAAGTTGTTATTTTTTTCTTCGGAAGAATAAAAAGTTGTTATTTAAAACCATTTAGGAAACGCACCCTAAATTGGTAAATTTGCCAAAAATATTTGTAGAAAGGTAATTTTATTTAAAATCACTTTTTTTTTCCTTCGAAAGTCATAATTTTCATAATTTTGACTGCCAGTTAAAATATATGTAACCATCAATACAGATATGGCATATGGGCTTGAAAATAACTCTCATTACATATTTGAAAGGAAGGTAAGAAGATCATTCTACTATTATTTAAATAACTTTGAAAAATTATTAATAATTTTTTCTTTTTGATAATGATTCTTTTGAAAAGTATTTTCCATGACCTCATATATTTTAGGGAAAGAACTAATTTTTACTTTCAACTTGGTCAAGTAGTTGAATTTTTACCCTAAAGTTTCAATTTAATGAAATTTCACTTTGAATGTGTTTTGATGTTTACCTTAAATTTGAAAAGAAAAAGTTTGTCTGAGTAATTGTTTTAAAAAAAGTATTTTCATGTGTATTCAATGAACTATGAAACATAGATTTGATGTGAAACTAATAAAATTTAAGAGAAAATCGGCATTAGAGCTAGTTTTTTTACTGCCGAAATTTCTGAGTTTTTACTGCCGAAATTTGTGAGTTTTGACAAAATTATTCAATGATGGATTTTATACATTGACAAACTAAATTCTGTATCAAACTTGATTTCACTGAAATTGATTAGTTTTTAAAGATGTTTACATCACTTATTGTTAAAATGAGTAAATGAATTAGCGGAATTGAACGAGGGTAAAAATTGCAACATTTATCTAACACTAGGGTTAAATTTGATAAAATCGGAAGTTTTAAGGTAAAAATTGATCCAGACTCTTTAGACTTTTTTTTTTCCTCTTTTCCCAAGAATCCATTTCCTAAATTATTTAACTGAATATAAATCATTGATTTGTCGAACATAATTAAATTCTAAATAAATACCCAACAAAGCATCTTCAAACAACATTCAACAAAATTCCATTTGTGCAAACCAAAACATTACAATGATCATCATATGAATGCATTCTATTTCCAGGCTTCTTATTCGCAAACTTTCCATTCCAAGACAAAACTCGATCGAAATACATCCCAGTGGACCTATAAATAGAAGTCGTGTCGTATAAATTTCTCTTTTTACTGGACACTCAAGATTACAGTAAAATATTACATCGCGACGCTATAGATATTTATGAACTGTATTCTGGAACCACTTGAATAAAAGAAAGAGCAAAAAGAAAAGAATTACCAATAAATGGAAAGTTGAAGATCTCATGAATTTACCGAAGTCATCACATTCTTACAGCTCCAAAACCTCCACAAATGCATTCTTTAGAATAGGGTTGGAAGCTGCTACTCTCTGAGATGTTATGTCAAAATCCTTGCCAGATCTGCCATTAGAATCATCATCCATCAAAACCAAGTTCCCAAATTTCCTAGTTTTATTTGCCTCTATATAGGACTAGCCTTCCAGAACTACCCCATTAAACGAGCATCGACCAAGGCCCGAGAAGACCATGCTGTTTTTGTATTTTGTATTTCGATTTGAAAATTGTTTGTTTATCAGGGTAGGGTTCACAAATTTGAAAAGATTGGAAGGGATTCGAGTTCTTGCTACTTACGGATCAAACACGAGCCCACCAGCTTCTGTGACAATAACGGCACCAGCAGCGACATCCCTGAACAAATAGCGAAAATAGTGTAAATATGATATCTCAGCCAAAGTAATGCAGATATAGTTTATATATCATACCAGGGACCCCCGAAACCGGTTTCGAAAAACAAATCAATCCTTCCACAGGCCACTCCACAGAGGTTCAGTGCACAAGAACCACTCATCCGAAGTGATCTCACCTATAGAAAATAAAAGACACTTGACATAAATGTGGAAACCACAGAAAGTTGTCATGAACAGAATTAAGGTCTTGCTATACCTTCAAGAGAAAACGATTAATTCTGTCTGTGGTAGCATCCACGGTCAACTTGTCGCGTTTGGTTCCGACCTGTATGTCCATTATGACAAATTTTATTTTGGTCCAAAGTTTAAGAATGGAAAGCTGTAGGCATAATTATTCATATTATATCCGTTCGACATCAATACTAGAAAATTGCTGCTCTCCGCTTGTAAAACTAGATATGCATTTGACCCAAAGATAATCCATAATTGAACAGTCAGGGTACACATAGTGAAGAAAGTAGAATGGCAACTTAAAAAAACTGTTTATTGAAATGGAGTAAAAATCTATCCATAACGTTAAAAACAGTTTTACGAACGCCAAATGATCGTCAACACAAGAATAGGGCGATAAAGAAGTGGCTGTGGTGCCAATGTGGCCAGTAAAAGAGACGACGTATGTCAGTTTTTCTGAAAGAATAGTATGCAAAGACCATTGACTCTATTAAGCACTTGTTGAAAAGATACCTCAGTTGCGAGAAGCGACTTCACCAGTTCGTCTTGAGAGGATACTGCAAAATAAGAAACAAAGGCATTTCGGATAAATGAATAATATAAAATTTCAAAGTTCAGAAGAAGTTGACGTACTGGAGACGCACCTTTAATTGGCTTTGCATTAAGAAAGGCACCTTTTCCTCGAATTCCAGTAAAAAGCTAGAGGCCACAAAAACGAACTAATACAATTGGCTCAGCAAGAAATGGATAAAGAAAACAGAGCAACAGCTCAATTGGATCATATCAAAGCCAACAGTATTTATAGGCTGAACAGAGCTTAACACTTGATCGAATGATTATAGCATGCTAACATCTTAGGGAAGAAAAAGTTTGCAATTTTGATGCCCCTATTTGGTAGTATAGGAATATCACAAAATTGACTCTTGCTTTAGACTACTTTAAGTACAAACAATGGAGGAACAAATAACAGTATCTAAAATGGTTTCCATTCACTGAAATAATGTAATTCTCACCTCATCAATAATTGGATTGTAGACAACTCCAACTGTGGGAACCTTTCCAATGGTCAGACCAATAGAAACACACACAAAAGGGAATCTACAAGTTGTCATGTTATGATATAAATGTTAGCAGAAGGTACACATATATAAAGGAAAGGAACCTAAATTGCAGGCACGGATCCGTACCCATGAACGAAGTTAGTTGTTCCATCAAGAGGATCAACAATCCACGTTGGTTCATTGGTTAATTCTGTATGGCCACAAGCAGCAGTAGTTTCTTCCCCAATGAACTGAGGTAGCCAGTTTTGAATAATTCAGAAGTAAGGAAAAAGTTCTACTTTTCTTTCATGCACAATGGGTAACTTAAAATTAGTTAAAGAGCTTAGACCTTATGTGAGGGGTGATGCTCCTTGAGGTAATTAAATATGAAATCTTCACAAGCCTTGTCAGTTTCAGTGACCAAATCAACCTGCAATCTATGTCAATATTAGTAAAAGGCCAGTAGAGTAGTCATGGAGCAGAAATAATCCATGTCACTTCGGGGCGTTTGGGGGACGAGTTACCAAACTTGAGTTGAAAACCCCAGGCTTAACTCTTTCCAAACTTAAGATGCCGAACTCGTACTCAAAACACTCCCTTCTAAGTGATCCGAATTGCATAACAGTTAGGAACTTAGGAATGTCATTAATACTCAAGTTTAGCTTGACTTCTATAGCTTACAATTCAGATAACTTGCAACGCTCCAAATAGCTTACGATTTCAATACATGAAAGAGTTTAAAAATAAAAACAAATCAATATCTCCACAACTTCAAGCAGTGTCAGAACCTTCAGAAACAAGAATTTGCATGCAATCTACTATCCAAATGGGCACATAAAATCACA